TTGATTATGCTCATGTTTTAACTATTTGTGTTGATATACACACACACGGGTTGTAAAAAAATGACAGTCTTTTTTTTTTCATATTCTCGAGATATACAATTATCTGTAAAGGACCCGCTATAGGATTTCATATTTTATTACAGCTTAAAATGGACGATCAACAAAATATTTTTAATAGATATGGCTCTCTTCCTGTTATTCACAAACAGGACATTCTGAAAGCAAATTATTCTTAATAATTGACTGGTATACGGTGATGAGATCCTATATATGCCTAACAATTAGATAAATACTCAAAAATTCTGAGTACTATCATTCCCAATAAAACCAAAAAAGTTGCACTATTCCAGCAAAAAGAAGTAAATAAATTTAAGTTATTGACAGGAATTACACATATATTGTACTAATAAAAGGACAGTGAAACAAAGAATGTTTGCAGATCTCCATAATAAAATAAAATTAAAAAAAAAAAGATTGTCGTTTGTGGAACAGATCTCTTAAAGTTTTAATCTATTGCTCAACACTCAAATCATTCAATCAACAACATCACCGCAAACCATAACAAGTTTTGACTAAAATCCTTCACAACAAGCAACATATGAAAAGGGAACCACCAGTAAAATTATTATTACTCATGAACAATTTGCTGAAAGAAAACCCCTTTTCATCATAATTTGCTCTTTAGGCCTGTCCTCTAATTAAAATAAAATAAAAAAATTTACAGTTAAACTGCTATTTCTCAATCTGACATCATGATCCCCATTAGTACTCAAATGTGCTCGAAGTGCACTCACATGATTCCATACAGTTTTCAGATTCGTCATCAACTCCGCAAGAACCCCACCACTAGATATTCATTTAACTTTTGGCTAAATAGCTCCTACATACCCTATTATTTCAACTACTTCTCACTTATATATCGCCACTTGTATTTGGTAGCAAGAAAATACCCTAAAGTTATCTATACTTGGACTTATATACCATCACTTGTTTTTTTAGCACTTATACATCGTAAAGTTTTTAAAATTAGCACTTAAATCTCTGAAGTTTTTAAATCCGAACGCTTAAATACCCTAAAGTTTTTAAAACTTGCGCAAAAATACCCTCGGTTATGCAAACTTGAGGGTATTTAAGTGCAAGTTTTAAAAACTTTAGAGTATTTAAGTGCCACCAAAAAAAGTAAGGATAAATAAGTACAAGTTTACAAAGTTTCAGGGTATTTTTTTGCTATCAAATGAAAGTTGGGGCATATAAATATAAGTGAGTAGCATGTGAAAACAATAGGGCATATAAGTGCTATTAGCCTTTACTTTTTTAATGCTCTAGCAGTCGAGCTATTATGACAACACCACTATGGCCGCATTGGTTTTATACATGGAAAAAAGAGGGGAGAAAAAAATAGGATTCGGATCCTCTTCACTACAAAAAAAAATAGTGGAGGGACCACTACATAATCACAGCCATTGATTATCTAGTTGATGGTTATGATTTTTTCTTTTAGTGCAAATTAGGAATGAGTGCAATACACAGAGGTATGGTAAGTGTTAGATTTAGATTGTATCATAACCGCCTACTAAATAATCAACGCTTGAGATTAAAAGTAGTGGTTTCTCCACTACTTTTTTGTAGTGGAGAGGATACAAATCCGAAAAAATAAAATAAAAAAGGAAAGCCCTTTTCTTTCGCTTTCACAGCCTGGTCGTGGAGAGAATTTTCTGTGGACTGAAAGAAAAAAAAGGCAGGGCATCTTCTACTCTTTACTTTCAGCAACGCAATTTTTGGATTCTCTTTTTAACTAACTTTCCCCAGTCTCCTTCTGACCTAAAATCTAATCTTTTTTTTAATTTTTCGCTTTTTTTTCATTTATGCATTAATGCTGCAATTCTTTGCAGAAAATAAAAAAACCAGAAATGAATGGCATGTCATCGCGTTAGCAGGCTCCAGCAGAAAATGAAATATTTCATAATTACAGCTGAACAAACTTTTCGATTCG